TTGATTCAATAACTGTATTAACATGTATATCTGAGACATCATATTTATACACTAGAAACCGATAAGCATTATTATTAAGTGCATAACCGATGAATACACAATCCACGGTTTTAGGTTCGATTCTTAACCTTTTAGGTTTAGGAACCGCAACCTTAGCCAAACACCCCCACACTCTAAAGTATTTCAGGGATGGCTTTTTTCCTTTCCATATATCGTATGGTGTGCTGTTTATCTTTTTGTGGGGCATTCTATTAATAATATAATTAGCCGTTAACATGGCTTCCCCCCACAAATTCTGTGGTAAACCGGGCGTAATTAACATAGCATTCATCATCTCTTTAAGTGTCCGATTTTTCCTTTCTGCAATCCCATTTGATTGTGGTGAATAAGGAGCTGTTGTCTGGTGTATAATACCAGACTCTATACAGAATTTCTCGAAGGGGCCATCATATTCTCCCCCACGATCGCTCCTTACCATTTTAATTTTCTTGTTGAGTTGATTCTCAACTTCACTTTTGTATTGCTTAAAAGCAACAATCGCTTCATTTTACTATTAAGTAAGTACACATAACAATATCTACTGCAGTCATCAATAAATGTAATAAAATATTTCTTAGTACCCCTAGATGGTGTAGATTTCTTGTCACATATATCAGTATGTATTAAATCTAACAACTCGGTTGATCTTTCAACTGATTTAAAAGGTAATTTCGAAAATTTTGATTCAACACATACTTGGCACTTGTTATTTAAACATTCAAATTTAGGTAATAAATCTAAATGAATTAAACTCTTAATTGACTTTAAATTAACATGTCCTAATCTATTATGCCATAGATTAGAAGACTCAAGCAAATAAACAGAAGTACTAGTATTATTAATAATATTGGAATTGTTTACAGTCATCACATTCAGTTTGAATAGGCCCCCACTAAGGTAGCCCTTTCCTACATACACATCATTCTTAGTAAGTACAAACTTATCAGAAACAAATACAAATTTAAAGCCATTCTTGCTTAATAGAGATCCAGAAACTAAGTTCTTGCGAATATCAGGCACATGGAGCACATCATTCAGTGTCACTATCTTGCCAGATGTCATCTTCAAAGCCACTTTACCCACACGTTCAACTTTTGAAGTAGATGAGTTACCCATATAAAGTTTCTCATCATTATCAGTAGGAGTATAGGATGAGAACATCCCCTTGTTTGAACAGACATGTCTGGTGGCACCAGTGTCCACCCACCATTCCTTGGAGTCTCCAATCAGATTGCACTCCATCACCACTGCTGCCAGATTCAGTTCTTCAACCTGATCAGCAATATCAACCATATTGGCTTGAGTGTTCTTCTTCATCTTATTGAACTTTTGTGGCTTCCTTTGATCTTTCTTTTGTTCCTTCTTACAATCCTTTGCACGGTGGCCAGGATTCCCACAATTGAAACAGTTGCCTTTGAACTTTTTGCCCTTTCCTTGCTTAGCATTTCCATCTTCAGAATATTTCCTCTTCTTTGTCTTTGATCCCTCTTCAACTACATTAGCCTTGGAGATCATAGGATTGTTGCCATTCCTCTTGTCAGACATCTTATTGTCTTCTTTTATTTTCAATCTGGTAACCAGATCTTCAAGTGACAATTCCTTGCACTTATGCTTCAGATAATTCTTGAAGTCTCTCCAAGAGTTTGGTAATTTCTGTATGAAAGCAGCAACTTGAAAAAACTCACTAAGAAACATTCCTTCTGCATGAATTTCATGCACAATCACTTGAAGTTCCTCAACTTGACTCACAACAGATTTGGAGTCTACCATCTTGACGTCCAAGAATCTGCCAACTATGAATTTCTTCAAGGCAGCATCCTCAGTTTTATACTTCTTGTCCAGACTTTCCCAAAGTTCCTTACTTGTCTTCAGGGTACTGTACACATTATACAGTGAGTTGTCCAGAGCATTGAGAATATAGTTCCTGCAAAGGAAGTCAGAATTCTTAAAAGCATCAATTGCAACAACCTTTTCCTTGTCAGATTGTTCTCCCTCATTCAGTGTAGGAGCATCTTCCTTGAGGCCGATCCAGACTCAGAGTTGTCAAATAGAACAACATCTTTTGTTGCCAGCGTTTGAAATTTGTGCCATTAAGTTTTTCAGGCTTGTCAGCATGCATTGGAACAGAGGCAGTAACATTGGCATTGTTTGTACTTACAGTAGCCATTTCTGTTACACAAACATAATCCGAAATTAATCACACGGATTAATCACACAGTAAATAAAACAGAAACAGTATATAAAACGAAAAATAGAATATACTGATCACAGGTTCAAAAACACCAAAATTGTCTTAAGATTGTTATTTATGAAGACAGTGGGTGATATTACATCACTAATAGATTTGAACACATGTATAAACAGAGGAGGTAGATGATCATAATTATCATTGTGCAATTATAATAATTAAAATAGACTTACTTGAGGAGTGTGATAAAGCAGACATAATTAGAGGAATGAATGTATGCAGTAGAGGAATTAAAATCAGAGCCCACAGAACGTGTCTCCTTAAGACAATTTACCCCCTCACAGATGCCAAAGGTTGATGGACATTTGTCTCCCAGAATAGAACGGATTTCGTCTGAAGAATGGTGGCACTACCAATCAACAACCCAAACGAACACAACAATTGCCAGAGGAAAGTACACCGGAGGATGAAAGGCAGTATGCAAAACTGGAAGGAGAAAAATTCCGGCAGAGTTTCAATACACAGAAAACTGGATAAATTTCTGAAGGTGTCAGTATCTATTTATAGACACTGACCGGTCACGATGAACAGTCGCCGGCGGCGAACCACCGTGTCTGACGGCGACGAACAGGTGCGACCGGTGACCGTTCCGACGAACAGGTATAACCGGTGACTAGTTCAGCGAGCAGACACAACCGGTGACTGGTTCACGAAGGGGAAGAACCGGTTCGGTTAAACACTGCTCAAAAATCCGGCAGGTAGAAACGTTTGGGTTGGAGGGAAGCAACTGATACTTTTTGGACACAAAGATTAAAAAATATGAACCGAACCGAACCGAGCCGGCTGGACAGACGGCGGCGCGTGTGGTGGACCAAAGCCCACCTAGCTCCTCCCCCTACATAAAATATATAGTGACCTAAGGGTCAAACTATGAGAGTGAGGTGGGAGCTTATATACTCTCCCACTTCCTACTAATTGTCCAATGTGAGACTTGTTAAACCCACACATCTCTTCATATTCCCTTTTCTCTTTTCTTTATTAACCCACTTCTTATTCATAACCAATGGATCATTGTACATTAATTCTTTCATTAATTCCAACAATCCCCCACATGGATAAGAAGTCAAATCATCGTGACAAAATGCATAAGAGTATAAATGCAAAGTGTAAATTCCTCAACGAGAAACAACTGCATCGAGATAGGTGGAGTTACCTTTGAACCTTCTCTAGTGAAAACCTATCCGATATACTCGGTTAATCGGTGGTCTAGGTCGACTTGAGCCGTCAACCTTTAGTGTATACCTAGACAATAGGAGTCACACAATTGCTTCTCTAGCATTGTTGGTCTTTTGTTGCGCCCATTTTGGTCGTGGGACACCTGTCTGGTTCTGCGAGTGTTTTAGAGAATCGGCCTTTGAAAATTCTCATAGAAGCGGCCCTCACTTCACACTCACATAGGTGATTTCTTGTGATGTAACTCACTATACATCATTTGAACACAACAGATTAAGAAATCATTAAAAGCCTTAATGATTACCCTCATAAATACACCGTCTTGTCTTAGGAATGAGTATGAGTTTAAAAACTCCACAGTGTTTGAACAGTCGACCATCACTTAGTTGTCTCTTTGAACCTAGTTCATGGGATCTCCACTCTTCTAGGTAGAGTTACCGAAATGCTCAACAATTGATAGGCCTTAAACCCATTCCTTTTGACAAATTTTCAACCAACTCTCTAGGAATCCCTTTGGTTAACGGATCCGCTATGTTTTCCTTAGACTTAACATAGTCAATTGAAATGATTCCATTCGAGAGTAGTTGTCTTACGGTATCATGTCTACGACGTATGTGTCTAGACTTACCGTTATACATGCAATGCTCAACAATTGATAGGCCTTAAACCATTCCTTTTGACAAATTTTCAACCAACTCTCTAGGAATCCCTTTGGTTAAGGGATCCGCTATGTTTTCCTTAGACTTAACATAGTCAATTGAAATGATTTCATTCGAGAGTAGTTGTCTACGACGTATGTGTCTAGACTTACCGTTATACATGACGTTCTTGCCCTTCCAATAGGTGCTTGGCTATCACAATGTATGCATACGGATGGTACCAGTCTTGGCCAATTAGGAACATCCTCAATAAAATTACGAAGCCATTCGGCCGAACCGAACCGAGCCGGCCAGACGGCGGCGGCGGTGCGCGTGTGTGTGGTGGACCAAAGCCCACCTAGCTCCTCCCCCTACATAAAATATGTAGTGACCCAAGGGTCAAACTATGAGAGTGAGGTGGGAGCTTATATACTCTCCCACTTCCTACTAATTGTCCAATGTAGGACTTGTTAAACCCACACACCTCTTCATCTTCCCTTTTCTCTTTTCTTTATTAACTCACTTCTTATTCATAACCAATGGATCATTGTACATTAATTCTTTCATTAATTCCAACAAAAAGCAATTAATGCATGTTCCCGAAATAGAATTTTTCATATCGACTTTAAGAATATTTAAGTAATTTATTACTTTTTTACCAAAACAATTAAGGGCATTCCAATTATCAATTATGAATTCCCATTGGGCAGTAACCTTCAAATTTTACAGGCTTTGGACTCCACGGTTATTACCTAGCTAATATGCTTAAAGGTTCTGCAGTGTCCCAGGGTGTATTAGTTGTCAATCGTCTGAACTGTAATGCTGGCAAATTACACACTTCCACGGGAAGTTCAATCTCTTACTAAATTCATCACTATTTGCAAGTTACAGAAAAATTTGGAATATAATATAAAGGGAAATGCATTTGTCATGTTACATGACAAATGAATAGTTGTTATGTTAAGAAAAAGACAAATTATATAATATTAAAAAAGTGAGAAGACATATTATTCAATGAATTTATCTTGTTTTTTTCTTAAAATAACAAGAATTCATTTGTCATGCATTTCCCTAATATAAATATAGTACAACATATGAGAAATCTAATAAACTAGAAAAGGGGAGGAGAAAAAAATACAAAGCATCAATATATGTTCATGATACAGGTTTTACATCGGGGACATCATCAAGAATGAAAGGTCCAAGTTTACCAGTCCTGAATAAAGTAAGGAACTTCTTGGATACCATCAACCGGGCTTCTGAAGCCTTGTGAGGTATCTTCAATGCCTTCTGCAGTGCACCAAACTGCTGGTCAATAAGGCTCTCTAAGTCACTCTCATCTTCAACGTTGCCATTGAATTCTGCCAGAGTCAGATAGAGTGCTCGCTGAACTTCCATTACAAGATCCTATAATGGAATAAGAAATGGAATAAGAATTAAAGAATGAAAAAAGAAAAATTAACAAAAATAATACCATTGCAGTTCACATTGATATACTGTCTAAGTTCCATCATCGCCGTAACTTACGATGAAAGGAGACAGCCAATCTTCAAGAAACACATCAAATTATTTACAATTTCAGACAAAATTAAGAACATATACATCAAGTGTGTGTCAGCTTGGTTTCACCAAGACAGTAGTCGTTGGCCACTATTAACATAAGAGATGCCAGATAAGTAGATATCCCCAACTCAAGTAACAAAAGTATTGCAATGCATTTGTAGTAACTAAGGCTTTTTACTACTATTATAAGCTTCTTCTGATAGTTTTCGAAATAGTAGCATCACATGGATCACTAATGGTGTAAAACTTATTAGTTTTTACAATATAATTGGATTTGAATTAAATCCCAAAAAGTAATAACCTTAACATCATTCAAGACAAAAATAAATTATGAAACAACTCAGGATTAAACAGCTATGCTACAGTCAAATGTACCCCAATCAAACGGGTTTACAACACTCGGGAACATTAATATACTTTGACTTTATCAACCAAAGTGCCGAAATTTCCAGCATTGGTAGTTAAAAGCATCATATTCAATTATGCATACTGAAAAGTGCTCATTGTTACCTCAACATATACCAAGTCAGATCTATTTGGCAGATTTCTTCTCTTTGGCTTAAGATTTTTCAGATTATATTCATAACTTTCCTCAGCTTGAGCTTCACATTCAATCCCGTCTATTCTCCGGTTATTTAGATGCTTCCAGTGAAGTGGAGTCCCCCGGGTATTCAAAACTGCCAATAAGTATTGAGCAATACGCTCCTCGCCCACCACTGAATCTTTCACTGACCCTGTCAATGCAACAACAAAGTTTGGATGATAAAATATACCAGGACATGTGCTACAGAGGATATCAGATTCAGAAACCCAACAGATGCAGATGCTCCATCCAGACCCCTCTCAAGTTAATTTGCACGCCTCATATGGAAGAAGAAGCTCATGAGATGTGATATTCAGTTGCCTGAATTGTTCGGGGAAAAGAAAATAGTAATAATGTAAAATGTGGGACAAAATTAACAACTAAGATCTAGTAAGACTGCTAGAGATGGTTATAAAAATAAAAAGACAAAATATGCCACATTCAAATCCGGGAATATAAGTATGAAAGAAAATAGGAAGAAAGAATCATGAAATTCATTAAATGCACAAGTACCTTTTCAATTTCCTATAGTGGATTATAATTTTATTTTCTTTCAGAATGAAGTTTTTCACACATTGAAAATGACCACCTCAATAGAGATTCATTGACCTGGAGTGCCCTTAATTAATATTTACATTCAAAAGCAAGATAATATAAAATGATTTTCCTTTTTCGGCATGAAGTAATATTCACACACTAAAACCAGCCTTGTGCTTATGTTATCATGATAATAATTTAGAACCTCAATAGTTATTAAATTTCATAGGAAAGGAAATTCAGTATTATATCTAAATGTTAGAAAAGGCACGAGGTATGCAATAAGACAAAATTCTTAAACTTAAATAGAGAACCACACTCCTGTCACTTTGTCCGCAAAAGATAGTGGGAAATACGAAACAAGGAAACTGATTGTACAAAGTACAATTCAAGCAGAATCTCCATATAGAAATGGAACTGCAGGAGTTAGTAATCAATAAACAACTTCTATATCCAGCATCTAAATGGAAACAGTGATTGCAATTTCAAAATCAAATCTACAGAAATGGGGATAGATCAGCACTGCAAATGCTGTTGAAACCATTTTAAAAAAATAAAACACAAAATTCAAATAGTAACCTTGCAAGTTTACAAAATGCAAACAAAAAACAGTAAACAGATACTGTGTTTCTAAGCAAAACATATGAACAATAAGATAGACAACATAAAAAATTAAAAATATTAGAGAAACTACAGGCTTTTACATAAAAAAAATAAAAAAATTAAACATTATTATTATAACAGAACTTTCAATCAAGTTGGCTAACCATGACATCAAATATGAAGTCTCACTCAAGCTATATATAAAATTTAAAAAAAAAAAAAAAAAAACAGATATCTAAGATCATATCCTTCATAACAAAACCTTTCTTGCATAACTCTTGAAAGATAATCCATTTTCAGCCTTATACAATTTGCAAATTAAGTTGCAGACCGATGGGAAACTGAGAGGAAGGAAAAAATCAAATCAAAGCAAATATTTAAATTCCAGTTCATAATTTGAGTCCACAAAAAAGGTGTGTAAACAGGCTTTAAATAAAGGGTTTAAAGTTTCTTCATCAACTTAAGATAAAGTCATCTCCAGCAACCCTAAAACTACGTCATTTTGGGGGTTGGGAGCATTAATGAAGAGTATTTTACGAATTTCGTTTGTTTCTTGTTATATTAATTTGACCAAAACGCCCTTCATTACTAAAACTACGAAATTTTTAAAGGTTGATGGTTTATTTAAGTTGATGGAGAAACTATAAACCCTTAAACAAATCCACAGGAATAGAACATATCAAGAAGAAACAGATGCATTTTCAGCACTTACTTTTAGGAAACAAAGTCATGCCATTATTCATAATCTGAGATGTCCAAATTTTCATTAATTAAAAAAAAATAAAAGCATTCAGGATATATAAATTTAATTGATCGTTTTAGTACCTGCAAGAGCGAGCTTTAACCCCGTCTCTATGTCTGAGATACTCGGAACCAAAACCCCTGGGGTATCTAGGACATATATACTCGGTTTATTTGCTATCTGAAACATAAATTCAAAATCAGAAAATTAACTATGATCACCACAAACTCATAATAAAAACCAAAGCAATAAATAGACCTTGAATCCTGCAATATCTTGAGTAACACCAGGTAATGGACCAACAGCAGCACGCTTCATCTTCTCCTGCACTACTACGAAATCAAAATCAAAACACTTATCACTTGAACACCTCAAAATTCCATCAAAATCAGAAATTGATATGCAAAAAAGCATTACCAGGAAAGCGAGACTGTGCAATTTGATGAATAGAATTAATCAAAGCAGATTTGCCAACATTAGGAACACCAACAACCATAACAAGCAGAGTAGGTTCCTTGCAAATAACTTCCTTCAATTTCAACTCCACAAGCTCCAGAAGCTTCTTAACTGAACTCTTGCTATGCGCATTTATAGGAATACAATCTTGCTTGCACGATTCAAAATAATCTATCCATTTCTACAAAATGAAATAATAAATAGCTGAATGATAATAATAATAATAATAATTTTCATAATTGTGAAAAATGATAGTAATGTTAATGTTGCTACATTACATGCATGATGTTTGGGTTGGCTAAGTCTTTCTTATTGAGTGCGACGACGCGTCGTTTAGCGGAGAGGTGAGGCTGAAGAATGGAATTAGCGGAGGACAAGGGAATGCGAGCGTCTCTGACTTCGATGACGAGGTCGGAGAGTTTAAGGCGGTTACGAATGGCGCGTGTTGCTGCTGCCATGTGTCCAGGGAACCAGTTGATGGCTCCACCATCAGCGTTGAACCCCATTTCTCCTAACCCTAACCCTAACCCTAACCCTAACCCTTTCTTCAACAATCCCTTCAACCCCGCCATGTCAACTACCACTGGTTGCAGTTGCAGTGGCTGTGTGTGTCTTCTTTGAAGAAATTGAAAAGCAGAAACTGTCAATGTATCTTTGGGCTGAACGAGCCGGCCCAACGGCCCAATGCAATGTAAACTGCCTCACTTTGTGCGTGTTGGGCTGAACCGATGTCCAATCCGAAAACGGAATAACTATAAAATTAAATTGGTCCGAAATTGGTCTCGCATTAACTCATCTCATCAGTAGGGGTGAAAGTGGACTGAGCTGGGCCAAGCTTTGTTCTGAAAAGTCTAAGCCTACGTCAAAAAATTTTAATTTGGCCTGGCCCAAGCCTAGTACGAGTCTAACTGTTAGTCTGGCTTGACCCGTTTATAAAAAACAAATGGTCTGACCTAGCTCGTTAGCCTGTTAATTTTTAACTTTCAAGCAGAACCATAAATCAACTTTACAAAATACTTAAATTTTGTTGCTAAACAAAAAATCATAATTTCAACGTCCAAACAGAATCATGAATCACAACAAAACTCATACAATATGCATTTAAGTCAATTTCAAAAGCAAAATGTTCAAACTAAATAACATATATTTCATCAGATTCAACAAACAAATCTATGTAAATTAAAATAACTACGTGAATTCAACAAACATGTCATGATGCTTGTAATAAGTATAACATCTCCCAAAAACCTTTTAATGTATTCATATACACAATCTAACATGTTGAGATGTTGGTTTCTCCTACATAAGAAATAAAGTCAGATTTCTATTAAAATATAATTAAGTTATAAATAATTGCAATTGATTAAATATATATCTTTTGTTTTTTCTTCAAGTCATACTTATTCTATTTTATTTTATATAAAATAAATAATACAATATAGGCCGGTCTGTAGGCTTATAGGCCAGGCTTTGTGAAAGTGAGCCTACGGCCTTTTTATTAAACAAGCTTTTTCAAAACCCAAGTCCGGCCTATTTTACAAAATATACTAGGTCAGGTCTGGTCTGACGTAGGCTGAGCCGTAGGCCTCTGTAGGCCGGTCTGACCCAGTTTCACCGCTACTCATCACCAACATGAATAAATCCTCTCTCATATTTAATTTAACATGATCTCGTCCACAAATAAATTAATAGTGACATGTCGTCTCAAATAATATGTTAAATATGAGAGATGAGAAAAAGCATCATGTTAAATAACATACAATTGTTCAATCTAAATCTGGAAATAATATTTTGAGCTCCCGTCCTTCATGGTCCCTCTAAAGAAAATAGAATGAAGAGATGAGAGAGGAGAGAGAAAGAAAGAAGAAAAGAAGAAGAGAGCAGGAAATAAATTCTCCTAAGAGTAAATATCCTTTTTGGTCCCTAGCAATATTAGCGAAATCCATTTTAGTCCCTGACAATGTAAAAGTACCAAATTGGTCCCTAAAGTTATGAAAAAAGGGCCACGTCAGTCCTTCTGTCAACTCCTCCGTCACGGTCAAACTAACGGTGCTCATGTGGCACGTTATCTGCTGACGCGGACTCCACGGTGGACACGGTGGAAAGCTGGACGACGACGTTTTGAATGAAAAGGATAGTAAAGCTTTCCAAAGGACAAACGACGTCGTTTTATTCTTCAGAAATGAAGAGGCACCAACACTGCAAGTAACCGTGGAGACTCATTTTTTCACTAAGTTATTGCATATGATTGGAAGACCATTGTTGACCTCCACTGGAAGCTTCGTTGAACGGTGAGGGTTGTCGAAGACGGTGGTTGCAGGGAAGGCAATCAAGCGTGGACTTTGAAGGTTGTCGAAAGGCTGGTCCTGTGGTGGTTAAGGGAAGTTCGAGTGTGCTGGTTTTCTTACATGCAGGTAAGTGTTTTTTTAGGAAATCTTCAATATTTGTGGTCCCCCATCACCTGATGTTGTCTATTCTTTGTTGGAGAATGGTCCCCCATGTGCGCTCCATTGTGAGTTATCATGGTTAGGGTTAAAAAAAAATACCCATTTATGTATGTGGTCCCCTTCACTACCGGTTTGTAAAGTATATTGCCATTTTTTAGTGCATTGTGGTCACCAATTTTTTAGAGCATGCATAATTTGTAAAGGTGCAATTTTTTTCCACGTTATTGGCTTGTCCCCCCTCTCGGCAGTGATGAGTTTGATGTACATGGTTATTGCCATTTTTTAAATTGGTTTGTGGCCCCTGATGTTCGCATGAATATATTGTAATTTACAGCCCTGTGTTGCTTTTTTTCCAGATGGATGAATACATAGTGATAAGGTATCATCATGGGGGTGTGTTGAGGAGAGATGATAAAGGGGTCCTAACCTATGTAAATGGAAAAATGGTTGACTTACCTGAGATGGATGCTGACTTCGTCAACCTGCGTGACCTTGATACTCTGTTCAAGGGTTATGGGTATGAGACGTGTAAGCAAATGTTGTGGCTCATGCCAAACGCAACGGATTTAGATGTAGGTTTAAGGCCTTTGAATACGGACGCTGATATTGTGGAGATGGTCAAGGCTGCATTGAGTAATGGCAATCTCATAGAAATTTATTTTGAAGATTGCATTGCAACCCCTGTCTATGTTTCACCAGAAGAAGTTATTGCACATGCACATGAGGGTGGCAGTGGTGGAGAGGAGGATGAGGGTGGCAGTGGTGATGGGTTGGAGGATGAGGGTGGCAATGGTGGAGAGGAGGATGAGGGTGGCAGTGGTCATGGGTCGGAGGATGAGGGTGGCAGTGGTCATGGGTTTTCTACTGATTCAGAAGATAGTGTGGAGGATGAGGCAAATAATCCTCCTCCACCTATGTATGATACAGAAACAGAGAGTGAAGAGGAGTGCAAGGGGAAGGGTAAAGCTGCTGGAAAAAAAAAAGCAAAAGAGAACGAAAAAAAAGAAGGTTGAAGATGTGGCAAGGGAAGATACAATGGAAGAGGAGGAGAAGTCAATGACTTTCGAGGAGGGTGGGTATGGGTATAACTCTGAAGAGTTGAACACGCCTCCTTCAAGTGGTGCTGAAGAGGATGAAAAGGTTGTCAATCCAAAATTTAATGTGCATGAGGAGTTTGGTCATGTGCACTTAGAGGTAGGAATGGAGTTTGCGAGTCTTCAATTATTTAAAAATGCTGTCAAAGACTACAATATTGATCTAGGAAGACAATTCAAGTGGCTGAAGAATGACAAAGTAAGGGCTCGAGCAAAGTGTAGTAATGATGAATGTGATTGGACGATTTACTGTTCGTGGAACAACAAAATGAAAGCTTTCCAAATCAAGACTTTTAATAACATACACACTTGCTGCAGACTTTTTAGAAACAAGAGGGCAAGTAGGGATTGGGTTGCGAAGAAGTTAGAAAAAAGGCTAATGACACAGCCGAACATGACAAGGGCTGAGGCCTACGACCACATGAAAGAGGAGTACAAAGTTCATGTTCATTTGAAGAAAGTGACCAAAGCACTTCAGAAAGCCAAGGCCAAAATAGAAGGGTGCGAAAAAGAACAGTACGCAAAATTGAGAGACTACTTAGGTGAGCTATTGAGAAGCAATCCAGGGTCTACATGTCAAATGCAAGTGATCCCACAACCTGATCCGAACTCCTCTCCCATATTTTCTAAGTTGTACATTTGTCTGGATGCATGCAAGAAAGGGTTCAAAGTTGGCTGCAGGCCCTTAATTGGTTTGGATGGATGTTTCTTGAAAGGATATTATGGAGGTCAATTGTTAAGTGCAGTTGGTGAGGATGCCAACAAAAGTTTCTATGTCATTGCATATGCAATTGTTGATAGTGAAACAAAAGAGAACTGGAAGTGGTTTTTAACCCTATTACAGGAAGACATTGGCCCTCACGCAGTGTTTGGATGGAATTTTATTTCTGACCAACAGAAGGTGTGTTAAGCTTGTTTCATTTCAACTTGCTTAAGTATTCAGATTGATCCAATTGTTGAATGATTTTTTCTGTTGTTATTTACCTGCTTATTAACCCTATCATGATTACATAAACTGCATTTTTAACTGCATTGCTGATGTTAAGTGCATTGCTGATGTTTAGTGCATTTCTGATGTTAAGTGCATTCCTGATAATGTCAGGGACCAATTAGTCCCTCGTGCAATTTGTCAGGGACCATAACGACCCTCGATGGAAATTGCCAGGGACCTATTTGATCCTCGTCTATTTGATTCAGCAACACTTTATGGCAATCTATATATGTTTTTGTGATACCTTTTTTTTGTGTCTGTGTGTAGGGGCTGATTCCAGCACTGCAAGAGGTGATGCCTGGTGCATATCATCGTTTTTGTGTGCAGCACGTTTGGAAGAATTTCATAAAGCAATGGAAAGACAAGGCAATTCGAGCCATGGTTTGGGAGTGTTCAAGATGCACCACTGTCCCCCAGTTCCAGCAATGCATGACACGATTGAAAGTAAAGAATGAGGCTGCATGGAAGTACTTGGATGGCATCCAGCCCTCAAGTTGGGTGAAAGCTTATTTCAGCCACTGGTTTAAATGTGATAATATCACAAACAACATGGCAGAGGTATGGAATGCCAAGATCGTTGGATATAGGTCAAAACCGATTATCACTCTATTGGAGGAACTGAGATGCTACATTATGAGGAGGATGGCTGCACATCAGAGGGTGTTAGGAACTGTTCGGGGTAAAATAGCTCCTGCTCAGCAATTGAAACTGGATCAGTTAAAGGTTCTTAGCAATTCATGGACACCCACTTGGACTGGAAATCTGCAGCAAGATATGTATGAGGTCAGTGGGAAAGGTGATAGAGTTGGAGTCTATTTAACAACACATACATGTGCATGCAATGTATGGCAGTTGACTGGACTGCCTTGTGAGCATGCTATAGTAGCAATTTGTCACAAAAACGAGCCAGCCGAGAACTATGTCCATCAATGGCTTACAGTTGATGCATTGCATGCCACATATGAGCACACCTTAAACCCAGTGAACTCGGACAAGTATTGGCCTGCATCTGATGAACCCAAACCTCTTCCACCAAAACTGAAAAGGCCAATTGGGCGACCCAAGAAACACAGGAAGAAGGACCCAACTGAAGACCAAGGAAGCATGACAAAGAAAGTTAAAAGGACATATGAAGCCAAGTGTAGTAAGTGTGGTCAGACTGGACACTATGGCAAGAGTTGTAAGGGGCCAGCAGCTTCCAAAACAGACAAGAGCCAAGCAAGACCACAATCTGTGAGGATTGGCACAGACTCAGTAAATGAAATCCCATTAAGTCAAGGAGGCCCGTCAGAAATTGGTAGTTCTCGGGCACAACAAATCAACTTGAGAGGATGCAGCCCACCTCCTTCAAATCCAGAAGAAGCAAATGCAGTGTTGACTGAAGAGACAATTAAGGCAGCCAGCACTGGCACACGAAGCAGATTTATGCACTTCATGACAACACCTGGTTTTATGCCACCAAGGCGATCCTCAAGAAAATGAGCTGCTGATGAAGACGAACAAGGGAGTAGTGCATGAGCCAACTGAAAATGAGTGGATATAATGCCCTTTTTTTGTACATTCTGGCCATTTTTTTTGGGAGGCCTTTTACAGATATAATGTAATCATTTTGATGCATGGCCAAGATTGTATTTATAGGCCTCACTTGTAATTTCTATCAGTTGGCTTTTATTTGTAATGCACTACTGGTTTGTAGTTGTAGGAAGACAATTATATGTAACTGGTTTATTTCTAGACATGCATGTTATGTGGCAGGGTTGATGAATGTGATAAGTTCATGTCCATTTTATGTTTTTTAACTGAGTTAGCTTGTTGTTGGTCATTTAGCTGCCATATTTGCATTCTGGTGCAGGTTTGTGCTGTGTTACTGATTAAACAGATCATGTCCAATTTTCTGGATGCAGGGACCAATTAGGACCCCGACAATCATTGTCGGGGACCAATTTGGACCTCTACATGCTGCATTTTTGTGATACTTCTATTTTGTTGATCTGGACTGCATTCAAAAGCATATAAGTCAGGGACAGCAAGTGTATCTGATGTAATGCACTACTGTTTTTTAAAATGAGTGCTGCATTTTGTTGATTTGGACATCAACAACTCATGTCCTATAATTCTGGAATCAGGGACCAATAAGTGCCCCGTGCACTTTGTCAGGGACCAAAACAACCCTCGACTAACATTGCCAGGGACCTAATTGGTTCTCGTGTTTTGCAATCAGTAACAAAATATGCATAACAGTATGCAACTTCTGTATCAGCAATGTCATGAGTTATGTGTCTATATCAGTAGCAATCTATATCTGTTTGTGATACAATGTAGCAATCTTTTATCCTTCATTCGATGCCTAACTATGCAATAATATATAATGCCATAATATATTAAGGAATACATTCAAGGCTTTTTTTATAATAGGCCATATGATAATACACACAAACAGATTTGAACTAACACATAATTTGTATAACAACAGGAAGGAGTACTCATTACAATTCACTGAAGCAAAAATACATTTGGGTCACTTTTTTTCACTTTTACCACACTAACAACAAACATACAGATCATGATCATACCCACACAAGCACCTAAGACCCTAGCTGACCTATCAACTGTCCTAATTTTTTTGTCCATCCTAACTAACTCCTCCACCATCTTCAGGTATACATCATTCAGTTTTCTTTCCTGCTGATGAAGCTTCATTCCTTGCTCAGTAATCTTCACATCTTGCTCTCTCATCATCATCTCCACATACTTCAACTTGAAGTTAATTTCAGCAACATCCAACTCCACAGTGTGAATTCTTGCTTCTTCCAGTTCCATGGGTTCATTACACATGTCATCTACCCATCTAAAAAAATCACAATAGGGCTTCTTCACCTGAAAAAATAAACACCATGGTTAGCAAGTGTTCCAACTCAATAAAGGAGTAGATTACAAATTCGTACCTTGAAGTTAGGACACCCAAGGAAAGCCCTGTTTGGGTTCCTCTCAGTTTTGGAGGTATAGACAATACTTTGTCTCCCACATTTGCACCTCCAACCAGTGGTCCTTGCCATTGTTCTTCCCCCCATTGATTTACTCTCACTTGACCCCCCCCCCCATGCCAGAAAAAACACTCATCTTCTCCCAGGCCCAGAAATCTGGTTGATGGCTTAATGTCTTTCGTCGAGTTTCAATCATCAAAGTGCAAACTTTCTGGCGGCGTTTTGCTGTTTACAGATTTGCTCATCAATTTGGGGGATGGAGTTTCCGGTTTAGGGTTCTATTGAAGGCATTTGGGTTTTTTTCAATTTTAGGGTTCATTATTTGGGTTTTATCAATTAATTGCATTCAAGTAAAACGACGTCGTGCTTTCCATGGGTGTCCACCGTCGTCGTCCAGCTTTCCACCGTGTCCACCATGGAGTCTGCGTCAGCAGATAACGTGCCACATGAGCACCGTTAGTTTGACCGTGACGGAGGAGTTGACAGAAGGACTAACATGGCCCTTTTTTCATAACTTTAGGGACCAATTTGGTACTTTTACATTGTCAGGGACTAAAATGGATTTCGCTAATATTGCTAGGGACCAAAAATGGTATTTACTCTTCTCCTAAATCTGATTCATTCTGTGTCAAAAAAAAAAACTGAATCATTAATATTATTGATTTTTGCGCAAAATAATTGAAAACTTCACTCGTTAGGGATCAAATCTCATGTGACATCAATCATTAAATCATTGCAACTTATTTATCATAATATTTCTATTATTATATTTATAAGATAATTACATATAAAGCTAATGTTAATCAGTGAGCAACTGATTAAATGAGAATTCCATTAACCCAATACAAATAGATGGAGTGAGTTAATAACCGAAATTAACTTTGATATCTTAGTTGTCGGTTTAGTTTGTTTATAAATTTTGAAATATCCTTCCTAATATTATTTTTAGGAGGATTTTAAAGTTTTAATCATACACTCGCCCCAACAGGATTATTTTTTTTGGAGGATATCTATGATTTATCCACACACACAAAAATTTGAAGCAATCTCATTTTATACTTTTAGAAAACAAAGATTTATTAAAGCATATATTGATATATTTTAAAAAAAATATTTACCAGTTTATAAATTACCTGATTAGTTTGATACGAGTATTGTCAAACATATTATAAGGAGTGACTCTTCCAAAATCATTTTTTCTATTTATGGGGCTCAATTTCGAGACCTCTAATTAAGGAAAATAAATTCTTTATCACTTAAATTTGTCCCAACTTGACCTAACATACCCTGAACCCAACAAAAATGGGTGAGCAAGTTGACTCACATTTGCAAAAAAATTAAGAATACTTATTTATCCATTTTATGGTGGGTTGGGGTTTAAGAAACTCGAACACGCAATTTTTTTTTAAATTGGTGTGTCGGACATGTGTCCGACACAGACACGCTCTGACATGTTCGGACACGCGTTCGACATGTGGTCAACATTTTTAGACACGTGGTCAACTTTCTGACACGCTCCGACACATTTTTTCGACATGCAGTCAACTTTTTCGGACACGTGGTCAACGTTGCTCGGACACATATATATTTTTTTTAGTCTTAATTTTATTTTATTAACTAAAAATACATCAACATCAACAACACCTTTATCCCAAATTAATTGGGGTCGGTGGTAGATGAACCCACATGAAAGATACAAAACGGTTGAAAAAAAGTAAAAAAAAAATAAATAAATAAATAAAAATACACAAATAAAATAATAAAATAAAATAAAATGAAATAAAAATATATGTATATATAAATAAATAAAAGTAAAAAAGAAAGGGACAAGAAGAAGTGGGGGAAATGAAGGGGAAAAGGACTAAAAAAGGACCATCTGGAACATAGGAATAACAGCGAGTCTAACCCTCCACCATACTTATAGCTTTTCTCCATTCCTTTCTAAGACATACTGTCCGCCAATCTATATCCCACTCGATTAAATCTTGTTTTACTACTTTCCCCCAAGTAAGCTTCGGCCTACCTCTGCCTCTTTTTGTGTTTAGCTCTTGGTAACAAACTTCTGTTCTTACAGGAGCATCCATGGGTCTTCTCATCACGTGCCCAAACCACCTCAATCTATGTTCTCTCATCTTCTCGGCTACCGGTACTACTCCGACCTTTCGTCGAATATCTTCATTTCTTATCTTATCCATCCTTGTGTACCCACACATCCACCTTAACATCCTCATCTCTGCTACTCCCATCTTATGCTCATGTTGCCTATGTGATGGCCAGCATTCCGCTCCATATAGCATTGCCGGTCGTACTGCCGTTTTATAGAATTTTCCTTTTAACTTCAGGGGAATTTTGCGGTCACACAAAAATGCAGATGCACTACGCCATTTCATCCACCCTGCTCTGATTATGTGATTTACATCCTCATCAATCTCTCCACCATTTTGTAAAATGGAGCCCAAGTATTTAAAAGCATTTTTTCTGGGTACCTCTTGACCATTTAGATGCACAGGTTCTTGGTCCTCATCTTGTACCAGAGAAAACTCACACTTCAGATACTCAGTCTTGCTTCGACTTAATGTGAATCCTCTGGATTCCAATGTGCTTCTCCACAATTCAAGTTTTCTATTAACACCCTCCTTGCTCTCATCAATAAGCACAATATCGTCTGCAAAAAGCATACACCATGGCACTTCCTCTTGAATATCTTTTGTTAGTTCATCCATAACTAAAAATAAAAAACTATTTATAAATCAATTTTTTCTGATATGAAATTTGACATGAAAAATTAACAAGGTACGAAAAATTATTATTTTTTATATTTATGTTATGAAATTTGAATATTTAATTGGTTATATGACTAATTATGAACTGTTATATGTATTAAATATAAATTATATTATATATATTAAAAATATTATTTAATATCAAAACGTATCCCAACGTGTCGAAATATATCATTTTTTAGAATTAATGTGTCGTGTCTCGTGTCCCGTGTCAGTGTCCGTGCATCATAGGTTGGGGTTCAATCCACTTAATAATAAAAATTAAGAAAAGAAACTTACATATCCAACAATGATTCAATCTCAAGGATTATGATTTTCTTTATCAAAACAATGTCATCTAAATTAACATAATGTAAAGTAAATAAAGTCAACAAAAGTACTCAATATCAAATATACTCTTAATATAATGGATAAATTTGTTTCAATTTGATCAACATTTTATATATTTGAGAGAATAATATAAAAAAAATCTTTAAAATATAATATGCGACACTTAATTTTAGAGAGACTGATTTGATGATAAAAGTACTTACAAAACTAATTGGGAGGCATTTTAATTTCCAAAATACCAAATTAAAGGTTTAATGAATTTCAATTGAAATTATTTTGCAATTAGTAAATTTGATTTTGGGTTAAAATCTCATAACTTTTCCACAAAGTATCCGGCTATAAAGAAAAATGCTCTTCTAAATTGACCAAACGTGTATTCACTGTTAGTTAAGATCATGTTTTGGGGAGAATGCCCAATTAGAGCTTGGGGCGTTTGGTTGAAGATTTTTGAGAAGAATGATAGGAAAATGTGAAGTGAGGAAATACAATGGCCATGTTTGGTTGAGAGAGTTTCATCATTTAGCCACCTAAATCTGTTAGCTATGAAACACTAAGGTGGTGTTTGGTTGGGAACTTTTCAGCGGATATTTATCTTTCTCAAGTATGGCTTTTAGAAATACCATGTTTGTTTTAACATTTTTCACCAAAAATCCATCTATCTAATTTGTCTGGATTTATGAGAAACATAGATATCCGCACTGTTTAGAAACTCAATTTGAAGGTGGGATTTTTCGGAAAACCGGGTATCTGGCTTTTAATGCACTATTGATTTCATAAAGTTACCTAATTTTTCCAGTAAAGTTTTTCCCCACCAAACAACTTTTTTTTACATTTTTTTATCTATCCCACTTTATCTATTTTTCCAATCATTTCTCTATCTATCTCATTTCCCTAATATTCCAAAAAAAATTTCCTGAACCATTGAGGTATGATCTAGGTATCCAAATCACCCACTGGTCTAGGTAACTAAGCTTGTTTTAGCCTATCAACCCGAGTCGTGGGTTTACAATTCACGATCTCCCGAACGTCATCCTCTCACTCACCTACATCCACCTCCTGGAATGTTTTTCACCCCATTACCTATTCCCGCACAGAAATAAACAATTATTACGATTTTAAGCTTAGCTAGTATTGTCTTCAGAACATCCATAATAAATTAAATTATTTAAGAATTTACCTTTCCTTATTTATTTTAGAAAGAAAAAAAAACGATGACCTAGTAATTTTTAATATTTATTCTTATAAATACATTTTAAAACTAATAAATGTACTTCATAAGACCCCAAACAAAGTCAAAATAAATTCTTCCAACATTTATTATTCATTACTGATTTTTTTCCTTAAAATTTAACCCAAAAAATATTCTATTTAAGATCTTATTTCCATTTATTTACGCATAAAATTTGACCTGATTTTGAGCACTTTCCTATCATAAAAATGTGCACCGCGTGATCAGTTGACTTAGTATTTAAGACAAACGGGCTATAATCCATCGCTTCGCGGACCCAAATTTGAATTCAAAATCAACGAGTTAACGTTACGATCCCGTAGCTGAGGTTCGGAACCCAAAGCTAACCCCTTACTGTTCTCCGAACCAACGCCACACACTGCACTATTCTAACTCCAGAAACCACTGCTCCTATAATCTCTCTGCTTTCTGGGTTTCTTGAGTCTTTCGCAGAAGACCCGCATAAGAAAGATCGTTTTTTTTTTTCCTTTTTGTTTTTAGTTCTCTCCTCTGTTTCTTGGTTTTTTGCTTGGGTATGTGTTTTGAGTTCCTGAAGGAAAAAAAATAAAAATACTATCTTGGGTTTTGTCTAGTGTTGCGTGATCATTTTCTTTGTCACTCTCATTTTTTTTTTTATGCTTTGCATGACAACTCTGCAGGAACCAAGATTTGGGTCTCTTTTTTGTTGTTGTTGTTGTTGTTGTTAATCATGGAGAATTGCTCTGGAAATGGGGTTCATGATTTCAACATGGCTTCAAGAAAAGCTGAAGAAGCGGGTCAGTTTCTGTTTTTCTTAATCATTCTTGTCAGGGTTTTGTTAGATTACAATGTTTCTGTTGGTTTTGTTGTTCTTATTTGCTTGGTGGTGTTGTTATTACTGTCAATGATGATGGTAGAAAAAAAAGATTTTATATTTTTTTGGTGAAGTTTATAGTTCTATTTTCCTGTACTATTGATTTGTCTCAAACAATGTTGTAATAATAACTTGTGCAGCTTGGAGACGATATGAGGCAACTCAGTGGCTAGAAAGCCAAATAGGTCCTCTTGGCATATCCAACCAGCCCACAGAGAGAGAACTTATTTCTTGCTTGAGAAATGGTCTGATTCTTTGCAATGCCATTAACAAGATTCATCCAGGAGCAGTACCTAAGGTATTACAATTACAATCTCATATCAAATTCATGTTTTCTTCTCACCAATATAATACATGATTGCATTTTAATTATCTTATCAAATGATTAATTATATATATAGATATAGATAGGGTATTTTCATAAATAGCAAGTTCAAATTAGGAAGTTTGAGTTTGGGATGTTTTCATAAATGCTGATACCACTTTTTGATTTTTTCTAAGGTTGTTGATAATCAAGTAGCTTCACAGTCACTTGCCTGGGATTCCCAGCCTTTACCTGCCTATCAGTATTTTGAAAATGTCCGCAACTTTCTGGTTGCAGCAGAAGAATTAAAGATTCCAGCTTTTGAGGCTTCTGATCTTGAGAGGGTATGTTATTTATAGCTTGCACATCTTCCATATGCATGTCCAAATGCTACTGTGCTTGTTATAATGTATGTGCAAATCGTGTAATGTAAAAACAATGCTAGTATGAGTAACTTTGCATTTACCTAGTTGCTTTCAAGCTTTCGATTATAGATGAGTATGTTTGAACAAGTATATTGGTTATTTATTTTCAGGATAGTGTAGATATGGGATCAGCAGGAAAAGTTGTTGACTGCATTCTAGCACTTAAATCATTTCAAAAGTTGAAGCAGATAAACAATCAGAATGGATCCAACATAAAATCTCCTTTACTTATGAAGTCATTGAGTAGAATGCATTCAAGAGCCACAACCGCATTCCCATCAGATGCATGTAGGCGCTTGGATTTGCCTGACACATTGGAAAAAATGCCTCCTGTTGAGAGTAATTTTGAGAAACGAGAAGGTTTAGTCACAAAATCTTTTTCATATATGTGTATCTGATTTGCATCTGTAAACTGATGGCCCGCTGCACACGATAGTGTTAATTTTTTCACTTTTAAGGAAAATTAGTTTGGAATGATGGGGACCTTTATATGGTCATTGGTAGTATAAAGCATGTAGCAATTTACTAAAATTGTAAATTTTTAATCCAACAATAAATTATTCATATTGTGATAGTACATAAAAAATGTTGGGAAAAGAAACTAATTATATGATCAGAGTTTTTCAAAGCTGGAAATATTTTTTTCTTGTTGTATACGTCATGAGCTAATATACTTAAATCCTCAAGTAAAAATAATGTCAAACTAACATATCATCATTCATCTCCTACTACTGGAATATAAAGAAAGAATCATATTCTACTTGATGTCAAAAAGAATATATATTTTGTTTTGATTGCATGTGAATTGTTATAGTTATTATATCCATTCAAAACTTGAAAAACTTTCCCTATACTCTCATTTGCTCTCGCATAAATTGTATTCTTGCTTACTACCTTTATTGGATGCAGCAGAAATTGTGGAATCACTTGTCAAGGTGCTGGTTGACCGTATGTTTGATGCCAAAGAAAATATTGATGGAAACATTATTGAATCTCTTCGTACTGAACACCCGGTAATGATTAGTTTTAATCATGTAAGCAAATGTGTTTTATTGAAATTGACATATTGAAATATATCGGCTAGCAATTGAGTGTTTTATCTCCCATCTAATTATTTAAACTTTACTGCAGGATCCAATAAAGCTATTGAATCAGATCATAACAAGTTGTAGTAGGGAACAGCCACCTACAAAGTCCCCTGAGGTTAGTTTGATATGATCAAACATAATCCTTTTGCATGCTAATTTTTAATGAGTCATATTGCTGTCTAGTCTTCATGATGGAAATTATTTTAGGTTCAGATAAATAATTGAAAACGATCATCCTTGATTTTTATTTTTATATTAGGTTAAGATAAACCTGATAATTATGTTTAAGGAAACAATTCTTTAATCTGCAAATCATGTTTGCCAAAGCTTTTGCTTTGATATTTAATAAAAAGACTTCTTGACCAAACACAGTTGTCATTGCCGCTAAAGGATTTAATAAAAGAAAGGAGTAGCTTACCACCTCATTTCACTTCCACAAACACACAATCTGATGCTTTATCTGCACCTGAAAGTTCCAAGGTACCTTTATTTTTTCTGTAATATTACTTTATACAAAAATATTTACTAAATGATGGTTATAATACCTATAAATTTTCAATAGTAATATCTAATTTTTTTGTTTAAAAAAAAAAGGGAATTGAATTGATTATCATAGTTTGACATGTTGATGTCCTTTTGCTAACATATCATTACTCTAAAAATTGAAAAGAACTTATTTAAACTCTTCACTTTAAAATGCATTATTGTGTTTTTTTTACCACATTTAGATCATTAATATTATTACGAAATTGATATAGTTTATCTCAAATTTGGATTCTAATTTGACCAATTTGCATCTCGTACAGTGTGGCAGAGCTTGCCCTGGAAAGTGCACTTGCAATCAGGAGCATCTCTTAGACATGCAGGAAAAGGAACTTCTGGTAGGCATATGTGCAGCTTGTTCGCGCTTACTTTTAACCAATGCAGTAAATGTGATCAGTAAATGTGATTAAATTAGAAGTTAGAAGTTAGAACTATGTTCAGTTGAGGAGGGAAAGAACAATTTAACAAACCGCAGAAAAGTAGACAATGTATTTGAAAATAAAATTATGAGGTTAAATACCATCGTACTGAAGTAAATTGCTAATTTTGTTAAAAAGGTTTTTTTGTTTCTCAGTTAAATTTAGTCCTGTCTGAATCTAGAACTAATGTGTAGCATCCTATCGTGCGGGAAACTGAAAGCATTAGTGGGTAATATTGATTGCAAAGGTTATAACAAAATAGTGTATCCTTTCACTATTTTGTATGGTCATTAGTATCTCACTTAAACTTCAATTTCTTTATATTGAATATATGTTGGTTCTGTTGAAGCATGATTACTTTCTGGAGTTCTTCACATACAGCACAATATATATGCAACAAGCAAGAATGATATTTGATGAAATAAACTTGTTGCCTTAATGACCATAGAAATATGGATTGAGTTGTCTTTTTGATGCAAGGTCACAGAAATCTGGTTGTTTATTATATTCTGTTCCCAGTAAAACATAGAATAGCTTTGGTAAAAGCATGACTCGGCCTTCAACAGAGGTCTAATACATTTATTAAGAATTTACCTGTGAAATCATGTGTTTTTTCAGGATCTCAAGGCTTTGAAGTTGAAAATTAAGAATGAGTTTGAAGAGATGCAGTCACAGTTTCAGAGATTTTTTAATGATATTGGTATGAATAGCCATTAACTTTGCAAGTCTCTTATTTTTTACGTCATCGTTGACAAAAGTCTCTAATGAATGAGAAGATAAAAATTAATAAGATAATGATCAATTTCAATAGATAGGTGTTTCGAACAGATAAATTTTCTTGCTTACCTGTTTTTATAATGCATATTGTCTCTGAAAACTCTGTTGATAGTCTGGTGTTGTGTTACTGCATGAATACAGGAAGTCAAATACGGGATATGTCAACCAAAGCTCTGGGATATCACAGAGTGGTAGAAGAGAATAGGAAACTATACAACATGGTCCAAGATTTGAAAGGTTGACTTACTTTTAGTTTTAATAATGTTAATATTTAAAGGGTCACTTTCTTTTTGTCTATTCTTGACCTTAAAGATAATTTTGTCAACTTGTTCAAATTCAAAATCAGGTAATATTAGAGTGTACTGCAGAATCAGGCCCTCATTCCGGCCTGAATGCAAGAATGTTATTGATTTCATTGGGGAAGACGGTTCTCTATTCATTTTAGATCCATCACGAACACTAAAAGATGCAAGGAAACTTTTTCAGTTTAATCGGGTTTTTGGTCCAACAACTGGCCAAGGTAGAGTTCCACAAGCTCTTGGCCATATTTTGGGCACCAATTTAACTATCTCTATTTTTCCCCCTCTTTCCATCTCTTTATTGAAATTTACTATTTTGTACTCAGATGAGGTTTTTAAGGACACCAAACCATTAATAAGATCCGTGATGGATGGGTACAACGTCTGTATTTTTGCTTATGGTCAAACTGGATCCGGGAAGACTTACACCATGGTAAGATGCTTGATATCATTCTGCTTCAGTTGCACCATGGATCTGTTTTATTTAATTTGATTATAAAAGATGAAAAATCGTGATGAAAATTACATTTCAGATAGGAAAGATACTATTACTGGTTCCTTTGTATTATTATCTTGGCCATTGACCAATACAAGAACCAGCAATGACTAATTATTGTATTTGCAAACAGAAAGCCAGGATATTTCCATCTAATGTTTCTTTCTTGTGGCAGAGTGGTCCTGAAGGTGGAACATCTAAGGATATGGGGATCAATTTTCTGGCTCTTAAAGATTTGTTTCAAATTTCTAATCAAAGGAAGGACATTATACAGTATGACATTTATGTTCAAATGGTTGAGATTTACAATGAACAAGTTAGAGACCTACTTGCAGAGGACAAAACAGACAACAAATATCCTTTTCATATTCTGATCATTACATAGGATCAGAAACATTTTTCACATTTTTCTAAAGAGACAAGGCAGAGAAAGCTTCTTTATTCTTAGTCTTCTGGTCTGTCTTACTATTTGCAAGTAGTTTGCCTCCTTAACTAACCTCAAATTAGAGATCCGTAGCTGCAATGACGACGGGTTGAGCCTTCCTGATGCTATATTGCGTCCGGTGAAGTCTACAGCTGATGTTATGGCCCTCATGAAACTTGGTGAGGTTAATCGTGCCGTCAGTTCCACTGCAATCAACAATAGGAGTAGTCGTTCTCACAGGTGAGTTTTTAACTTTTTCAGGAGTTCTAGTAACTGCATTCCCCCTTCAATAATGCTTTCAGAACTTTAAAACATAAAGTAGTTGAGTTTGATTTAGACACCGATAAGGCTGTTCAATGTGTCTCAGTGTACTTACTGTGCATGTTCATGGCAAAGATACATCTGGGAGCACCATTCGCAGTTGCCTGCACTTAGTAGACCTTGCTGGAAGTGAACGAGTAGACAAGTCTGAAGTCACAGGGGAAAGACTAAAGGAAGCACAATTTATTAACAAGTCTCTTTCCTGTTTGGGAGATGTGATCACAGCCCTGGCTCAAAAGAATTCTCACATCCCTTACAGGAACAGCAAGCTCACACTTCTATTGCAGGACTCCTTAGGTACACACTAGTTTCCTATCATTTTCATGCTCTTTTCCAGCTTTTACTCTCTTACAGTATTCCAATTTTCATATTCTTACACAACGAGATTATGTCACAGAAAAGCTTTGGAGACTGACTACCTTGATTTTCTACGATATGGCAATATGTTAATGACAGTTTGAGATTTCTGCATTAGGTGGACATGCTAAAACGTTGATGTTTGCTCATGTGAGTCCGGAAGCAGATTCCTTTGGTGAAACAGTGACTACTCTAAAGTTTGCTCAGAGAGTTTCCACTGTGGAACTGGGGGTGGCCCGTTTGAACAAAGAAAGCAGCGAGGTTATGCAACTTAAAGAACAGGTAAGAATGTCTACTTAAAGCCACACCATTTGGTTATTATTTCCAAGCATGCGGACTTAACTTTTCTTGAGCCTAAACACTCCCAGCATCATAGGTTGCTTGACATTTCTCAAAAGATCATGTTTAGACATATGTAAGAATTAAAGTATTGAGTGGTGTTCTAAACTCAAATGAAGTTAAAGTAAACTGGTTTCCCTGTGTTTTATATGAATGTTAGGTTGAAAACCTTAAGATTGCACTGGCAAATAAGGAAGCTCACAAAGCAATGGAAGCTCACAAAGCAATGTTCAATAGAACTAAAGAACCGTACTCTCCATTAGAGAAACCAACACTGGTGTCTGAGAAAACTCCATTCCGCCCTAGAAGACTTAGCATTGAGAATTGCAGCGCCACAAAGCCAGACAACAAATCCGTGAATCCTGAGGACAAAAGTGGAGCCAAATCACCGCTTCTCATACCTCGTTCAAGAAGACTTAGCATTGAGAATTGCAGCGCCACAAAGCCAGACAACAAATCTGTGAAACCTGAGGACAAAAGTGGAGCCAAATCACCGCTTCTCATACCTCGTTCAAGAAGATTAAGCTTGGAAGGTTCAAAAATTGTTAAACGAAAAGCATCAGCTGATATAAGCAAAACTTTACAATATGAGTCAATGTCTCTGCTGAAATATCGTCCACTGCAAGATCCAGAAGCAGTGTCAAAGCTAAATAGCCATTTCAGCAATGTCAATTCCAGTTCAGAGTTGCAAGCCAAAGCTCCTAAAAGTCCTAAAAGCATTATCAGTCAGAAGAGATTGATTAAAGTGGATAATGGAATCCATATTCATCCTCTTGAACTACCTCAGAAACCTGAACCACCAGTGCTAGATAGAAATGATGCACAAGGAGCTGTGCCGAGTGACCTTATTACATCTTGCAATGATTCCCAGACAACAAAGGTGCTAGGTAGCACAAATGGAAAAGCATCCCAGATAAGAAAATCCTTAAGATCAATTGGTAAACTGATTAATGGCCCTGATAAGAGGTGTGTTTTAACTTATAACCATAGTGTTTTTTAACCTTCATTTTGATTATTACACTGTGTTTTACTCAATCTTCCACTATTTTGCAGGGGCCAACAAATTATTATGGTTGAAGTCAAGTCACCCATCAAGGGAGGTGTAAGGAGGCAATCTCTTGAAGGACCAAACTACTCCCGCAGATCTTCTATTGGAGGGAAGCCAATAGCATGTAAGTTGGACCCTCTAGAACTTCCCATTTTCTCAGTGATATGAAAGATAGAGAAAATCAATCATGTTATGTTATGTTATGTTATGTACTAAGCCCATTTTATTTTTGTGTGTCATATTTGTAGATGAAAAGGACAGAAATGCTAGAACACCTCCTCCTGACTATTCAGCCACCAAGGCTTCAAAACGGTGGCTATAGATCAGTCCCACTGCCTGTGGTGCTTTGACTCGAAGCACTCAAATAATGCTGACTGTAGTTTAGCACATGCTCCAATGTTGTCGGAGTTTTTGTTTTCAGATCAAAAAACATGTTTTTTTTTCTTTTTTTTACGGGGGTTGTGGTGGTGGTTGTGAATTAACTAACATTCTGCAAAGATGGCCAGAAAGTACATGTAGATATAATATTTCAAGGAGGCTATCTACATTTTCCAAAGGGGCATTCTTGTAATTATGATTTAGTTCATACACAAAAATAAATTGAAAACTTCAAGTGTAGGCAGGATCAAGTTTATCCTTTTAACCTCTTCTAAGGTTGTTCTTAATCCACTGGGCTTGGCTAAATAAGGCTTGAGCTATAGCAAGTGACATATATAATGCACTCAACAATGTTTCTCAATGCAAAATTTAGAGGTGGTAAAGTGGGCTGCTTGTCCCGCCCCGCATCAGCTCGCCATAAGCCCGTCAAAAAAGTGGGTTGGACTGCCCCCCTCCCCCCTTCCCCTGCCTTCGAAGGTGGGTTAGAAATTTCGTCCCGTTTGGGCGGGCGGGGCAGGCTGCCCGCCAAGTTCGTGACATTTTACATTAAAAATTAAAAAAAAATAATAAAAAAATTCAGCCTGAACGGGCTGGCAGGCTTGGCGGGACAGGCTTCACAGGCAGCGGGTTTGGAAAACTCAACCCGCTTCGTCCCGTTTGACGGGCGGGGTGGCTGAGCCCATTTTGCCACCTCTAATGCAAATGATAACCAAGTTCGCATAATCATAGATATGTCTCCAAATTGAACAAAATTGTATAATGTTGGATAAGTTTTGAACGGAGTTTCAAGCCCAATTCCTTGTGCCCCTACATGCTCGAGTCTTGGACTAAAGGGTCCTTCCAAATCCCATGTGACCAAATCAGTAAATCACATGATAGTTACATATTAAAAAATAGATAGGTTATTCTTTTCTTTTTTCTGCCTACCATTTCCAACACCATTGATTCAGAATTTCAAGAGGAGAAAGAAAGTGAAATTCTGATCTAATGGTATTGAAGATGAGTAGATAAGAAAAAAAGATAGATAGAATATCTTATCCCATTAAATAAATATTAGAACATGGATCATTAAAATAGTTCATACAAGTTTTTTTTTTTTTATTATAAAATGCAACAATTCTGTCAAAAACATTCTCAAGTCAAAAGTTATTTCTAGTTTTATATTCTTACTTTCGCTTGAATTTTGAGAAAATGAAAATACAAATTCATTTGGTATTACTTAAGCACTCAATTTAAATGGTAAACATTCAATACAAGTTATCACATGGCAGTGAATTACTTGTATTATATTGTTTACTTTTTGTTACAAAGCACTTACGAATAAACGATTTAGTTAACGAACTCATAAATCCTGAGAATGGTTTAGATTCAATATTAATGAGGGTAACATTTTATATAAAATTTTATGAACAAGGATATCTATAATTAATAACAAGCCATTAGAATTGGTCTACTGATGAGATATTTGAATAATTTATATTAGATTATATGTTCAATTTTTTTTGTTATATTAAAAACCCCGACAATACATGCATGTTACTTCTTATTAGTTCATAACCGTTAGTGGTCCCCGTTGAAACTGCCAACATATCACATGTCCATAATGGACTTGCCATACTGAGATACAATAATGCCTTCACTGATAGTATCATCACATGCACAACACAAGTACACACAACCCTCGAGGATAACGTTGCCACATGACAGAAATGACATATGCATTTGGGTTCCAAGAACGTTGGTATATTACATTATATATTTTTCTGATGCTCACTAAAATTTCCAATTTCGTATGACTATTATTGGATTACTTTATCTACTCATAATTTTGCGTGAGAATTTTAAAATTTGACTCCACTTACATGTCTTGAAATGTTACATATTCAAATGCCTTCTGGCTTATGTTAAACAGGAATGCAAGTCCAAAACCTAAACAGAGACTTTTCATTTTGTTTTTGGCTCGACACAGACTTAACATCTATGGTAGGATAAGTTTGTAACTGCATATCAAATTGTTGACAGCTTTGCACTGCTGTAATGTGCTTTTTCAGATTCCCCTATGAGTCTATGACCTTTGTTCTTTTTACTTAAAAAAATGTCATTAGTTTAATAAGGATAAGTTACTTCAAATCTTTAATATAAGTCACAGCCTAGTAACATATCTGAATTCGAAAGGAACCTCACGGTTAAGGTTGTTAATAGCATACTTAAGTTCCAAAGGAACATGCATGGGTTTACTCAAGAAATGTCCTCCAAGAATAAATTCTAGAATGATTAAGTATCTCATGATCAACTTTAACCTCTCAACAGAATTTGAAACCACCCTCTATGGTTTATTAATCCGAAGTAAACAATGTTACACAAACTGTTTTTCACACCAAAATGTAGGGAAGTGACAATTGACAAAAGTTGCTGCTTTTACTTACACATCCTAGTATATATTTCTAAATGCTTGCTGTACACAAGATATCACACTAGGAACTTTTCAGGTTGTCTTGGACTGCATAAGAATGTTTAAGACTTCAAAACTATAATTTTTCCACATTAAAGAATGAACATACAGAGGTAAATGAAACCATTGAAATTTACAGTGGTTGGTGTTGAACATTCAGATTTGATTTGGAGACTTTGTACTCATAAGCTCGATGCAACCTTTTTCTGAATCTTTTGAGGTCCAATCTAACATTTTGGCTGTCAAGATAGATCTTCTTTGTGTATTCCCACCCCTTTTTGGTAATGCTTGCAGGGTCTCTTAGAATAGGATCATTTTTGTCATAACTCTCATACAAGGAGCTCTCTCTAGGATGAATTTCATAGCCAATGTATTTCAAACCAAGCTTCCTTGCAGGCTCCCCATAATAAGTTTCTGCTGCCCATGTAGTACCAAGAGGAACCACTTGAATAAACACAGAACCTGGTCTCAAGAACAAAAAATGTGTCATAGCAGCCCCATGAACCCCAATCATGACATCACTTCCATTGAGTACCCTATAAATCTTTGCCAATTCTGTTGTTCTTCCAGGTTTTAAAACTTCCACAAAAAACCCAATTTCCTCTGCCATCTTCACCAGCAAATTCTCATTAGTTATAGCTCTTGACCCACTTCTAGAGAGAATAACCAACTTAGGCTTCTTCCATGTATTTTCTTGCACCTCTTGCTTAATATACTCTTGTTGTGAGGTTTCTGATGATGGGGATGAAGAGATTTGCTCTCTCAATTTCTTTTCTGCTTCCTTTTCCTCATCTTGAATCAAGCCCCTAATCCGAGGCCAATAAGCTCGATCCAGAAGGTTTCTGAAATCAGCAATGCCCTTGTTACCCTCCATCAACGCAGAATCCACCGTTAGCTCATCATGGATTCTAAGACCTACAATGGCTTCAGGGAAGCAATGTGTCCTGTTGTCTCCTCTAAAATCAATTGCAGGAAAATCTGATAGATGAGAAAGAATGTCTCCATACTTCATGAGCCACCAATTATGATATTCAAGAATCACAAACACAACCTTCTTGTTAAAATGCTGGGAAGTAATGTATAAAGGTATGATTCCATCATTGAATTCATGATAAACATTGCCAGTATAGCCCCCATTAGAGAAGAACACTGCTGGAACATCATGTTGGACATCACAATGACGAGCATTACCTAATTTCACTTTCTTTGAGATGAGGTTCAATTCATCAATGGTGTCCATGACACTTGTCTCCCATTTTCGAGTATAGGGCTTGATCTTTTCATGTTGGAGTAGCTGATCCTCTTCATCTTTTCTGCCATCAACAGCCCTTGAAACATTGTTGGTGCTTATTGAGTTGTAGAGGAAGATTGAAGAGGAAGCAGAGTGTGTTCTTATATCACCTTTCATGACACAGATATCAGAACGATGACCACTCCTATCACAACATATAGTTCCTGCATTACAAATGAAGCATGAAAGATTATTAGGATAAAATGACATGGAAACAACGAAATAAACTATATTTCTGAAGTTTATGATTCAAAAAATGTAAACTCTTTGGTAAAAGACAAAAATTCCATTACTTTACCAGCTTAATTTTCTTAGCTATCAACTGAAGCAAGGAAAATCCAAGGGTTTAACCCCTATTCATTTTGTTAATACTATATATGACTGAACATCTAAAATTGAATACATGAAAAAAAAAACTAGAAACAAGAACAACTAGATAGAAGAAAAGGGAATAGGAATAGTTACCACTAGAAACTGAAGAACATGAAGAAGCATTTACATCAACCCCATCTTCGTTCCCATCATTTTTAGTTCCAGGAGAGTCTGAAAAGCAAGAGAAGAAGATCAACACACAAAGCATAAAGTAACAAAAAACAACGAAATTTCAGGTTGAGCACAAGGTTAGTTAGATGCTTACACAAAAGAGAAAAAGTGAAAGAATCCCGAAGGAAAAGAGGTGCCAAGACATAGCAACATGAGAGAAAGCTGATGAGGAAGAGAAAAGACAACAACTTTGGCCTGGTTCTCCTGTAGTAACCAGAGCCTGAGCAATCCAACACAAGATTCTGTGACTCTTCATCTTTTACAAACTCTGAAGCCTTTCTGGGTTGATGGTAGCGGTGATAGTGAACCATTTTTTTCTCTGTCTAAAGTCACGATATTTGACACTTTTGACAATATCAGAATCAACAAGACAGAGAGGGGGAAAAAAAAGAAAAAGTAACAAATGAGTGCAGCCCAAGTGTTCTTTCGTAAGATGTTTTGCTTGTTGCGAGAGAAAAAGGGTGTGAGGTTGTGGAAGAAAGTGCTTTGCTTTGAGATGATTTAACTTGTTATTTGATGGAAGAGTGAGAGAGAGAGAGAAAGGAAAGAAGAAGGAAGAAGGAAGAAGGAAGAAGGAAGAGAAGGTGTGAAAAGGAGGGTTTAAAAGAAGAGAAGAGGTGTTTCATTTGGTTGGGGAACTCGGTTTTCTATGTTCTGCTGTGGTTTCGCTGTTCTCAGTCAACTACGTCAGCCGCGTGTTATACAAGAATAGAATGTTTCCTATTTATTGTTCAAAACTAGTGTTTATTTATTAGGAAATTTTGTTTTTAATGCAAGAAAATTGAAAACACAATATAATACAAATTATTCAAATTCTTAATTATTAAATCAATCGCAGTGGCTTCTCAGGAAATATTTCTTCTATGTTATATGTAGAGATGCTAAATAAACTAGAGGCGTTTATTATGACTCGTGAAGTCGTTGACTTACATATCTAAAATTAATGAAAATGGATTTTTTCATGTTCAAAAAAAATATGATATAATTATGTGAGAATATCACAACCATACAAAGTTAAATCAACAATTATGATTTCGTAATTATCTATTTTAACATTTTTTCTCTCTCCTCTTTTATTACTATTGATCCACTTTATAGGGTTACGATTCCCCACATGACATGATGAGAGGATTCCGATCCAAAGTTCAACGAGTGTTTCAGCCTGGCTAATATACTAACTCTTATTTTTATTTTATATTTTTTAAGTTCTCATAATGACCCTCACCATATTTTATTGGTTAAATAAATTTTTTGAATGATTTTATTCTATATTATATTGTTAGATATACATTAAATTTATAAATCTTTGTAAAATTATTAGTGTTGTTAGTTTGGATAAATTTCTATTGTCTTATTTTTTTAATAGACTAGATTAATCTGACAAATTTAAACACAAACTTAACTTTTTAATATCAAAGTCTGACCTGACTCAACTCGTTAACATCCTTAATTATATAAGAGAAAAATTATCTCATACATTTACAAATTAAAGATGGAATCTACTTTATATTTTTTTCCCTCTCTTTTATTCTGTCTCTTCTCTCTCCTAATTTGTGAATATATAAGAAAAAATTTCTTCAATTAATTTTTTTTCTTTCCGTAGAAAGAGTAATATTTCATTTATTTATTTATTTTTGGAGTTACTCAACTCTAATTATCTCTTTGAGACGAGTTGGCTCCCTCCGGTATCCTCACGAGCTTCGACTCTTTGAGCCGGCTATGGAACTAATCCGGAATGCGGGAAAACAGTGATGGCTAAAGGTTCAGCCCATTCCCCAAGAATGCATTCATTTATTTATTTATACTAAGTTAATGTTTTGTTTCGTTTCTGGAATCTGGTTGGCTCTACCATCTTACGCGATGCAGAGGGGAAAAAAAATTATTCTTGTTCCAATTACACAATTTCTTTTTTTAATTTCATGACATTAATTATCCTTTGCAGCCAGTTATGTACTACAAATATTCATCTACACATATTTTCATAATCCGAACAAGAAAAAAATCTGCATATATATGAAATCAATCTCAAATTAAATATGAGACTAATCAGAAATAAGGGCTGTTGCAAGTTGTAAATATTCAACTCTTGGCCCAAATTTTTTTTAAAGGATGACCTAACTATAATATTTCGTAATTGAAAAACTAGTCTAGCACAAATCACCCGAAAAATACAGAAATAATTTTAAAACATTAAAATAAAATATAAATGTACTGAATTTTTTAAAAGTGAAAAAGTAGTTAATAATTTCATTTTTAAGTAATTAAAATCATCTAATGGAAATAATAAGTGTTGTTTTCACGTTAATAAAACCTATTTTCTCTGATTAGAAGTTTTAGTGTGTTGGAATATAGGAACTGGGGTTGTCATGATTATTTTTTTGTGATTGACTCTTCATCTTCTTCCTCTTTCATTTTTTTACAATTTTTTGATAGGGTGCTCAAATTTATTACATATTGAATAGGGTTTGTTTTTTCTAAAATTATTTTAGATAACTTTATCTAATGTTTATCGAAACAACGTCGTTTGGGACAGAAATTATGGTGTTTTTGTAATTTTAATTTATTTCAGGGTTATAATAATTTTTGTTGTTCTAATTTTTTAATTTTTCAACTCCAAAACGACGTCGTTTCGATGAACATTAGACAAAGTTATCTAAAGTAACATTAGATATTTTTTTCCCTATTGAATATGTTGAAATTGGCTTCTCTCAATAACAGATCCTTTGTCTTTGTTATTCATTTTAGCACGATTTTAATTTTGTCCCTTTTATTAAACATCTTCTTATTATTTCCCTTTTGGTTATTTTTATCGTGATGGTTTTGCAATAATAGCGAGTTTCATATCTACTTTGGAATAAAACGAATACTCTTCAAGTTCTAATACTTTTCTATTGATTTTCGTTGTGAAAACACTTAATCATGATAATTTTGGAGAATTAGAAACAAAGTTACAGATAATTAATTATTTTAAAATGTAAATTATATTTGCTTCTTTCTTTATTTTGACATGAGTATCTTATTCAATTTATAACTTTTGTTAAATTTCGATTTGATCAAATTTCTTTTCTTGTTTTTAGTAGACATTCTTTTCTTTTCTTTTATAAAAAGTAAAAAAATATTTCCTTCAAAGATAAGAAAAGAAAAATAAGAGCTAAAAAAAAGGATAAAAGAATAGGAAGATGAAAGTTAGGACCGTCACCAGAAAGAGCAGAGTTAGGGTGGTAGCAACAACTAGGCAACTAAATTGGGAATAGGATTTGTTTCAAAAACCATCATCCGCCAGCGATAATGACTCAACTCCTAAACAATTGATTACAAATCCACCAGTATATGGTAAGTAAACAGCTATTGAAGCAGTGGCAATTAAATTAGCAAATTAAATTAAGAAATAAAGAAAGATGCTGCCAGAACAATTCCTGTAAACAGATTTAAATAATAATAATAATGTATATATAAAAATGACGGCTAATCAATATAGAAGAGAAACTCCACCAAATGAAAACATAATCTTAGGTTACAATAATATACAAATCCACTAAGTAAACCAGCGATTGAAGCAGCAATTAATTTAGTAAATAAAATACAAAAATAAAGAAACAGGCTGCATGAACATTGCATGTAAAACAGATTTTTAATGATGGAAAAAGTGTTTATCTTATAACTTGAGATAAAGTTATCTTTAGTAATTTTAAAACAACATCATTTTGGGGGGTTTGGAAAAAAAAATGTATGGTATTTTAATAATTTTACTTTCATTTTGTATCATGTGATTTTATTAATAGAAGAAAAACTCCATCAATGAAAAAAAAAATCTCTTAGGTTACGTTTGATAATTACAAATAAGCAGGCAATTAAAGTAGCAAATAAAATTACGAAATAAATAATGAGGCTGCAAGACCAATGCCTGTATTTAAAATAATAATAATATATAAAGAAAATGACGGCTAATCAATATAGGGAAAAAAACTTCATCTTTGGGGGGAAAAATCGTTGCTTTTGATAGATATGGATTGATAATATATGATAATATAAAGAAAACTAATTGTATATTGTATACTACAAGCGATTAAGTTACATCACAGTGTTTTATATCTCTAATTATTTGACGATGAATACATAAAATTATAAATTTTATTATATTTATAAATAAAATAAAAATTTATTACATTAATATTTATATTTCATATTATTTTATAGTAAAAAATATTTCTCCAGTTAAAGTTATTTTCAATAAACTTAAAATAATGTCATTTTCGAATTATAAGATTAAAAAATTATAATTATGAAATAAAATAGAATTACAAAAATATATTTTTTCTAACCTCGAAATAACATCATTTTTAACTCATAAAGAAAAATTTATCTCCATTGACTGAAAAATATTTTTCTCTATTTTATATGCATTAAAAGAAGATTAATAAAGATAAGGGTTATTAACATTTTTTTACTGATAAAATTTTAGAAGTTTATACTATTTTAAGTTATTCTTTAACGAATATTTATATTATTTTGAAGAAATTAATTAATAAAAACTTTTAACGCTCTATTATTTCATATTTTTAATAAATTAAAGTACGTTAGAGCTAGACTTGAACCTGTTTTAAGAGGATCACGGTTTTCGTAAATAATGCTAATGGCAGCATACCATTGCCAACAAGTTCTATGACCTGGATGGCAAATAAATTGTATTTTTATTTTTAAGTTGAGCAATTGCATATTTTTTTAAATATTAATAATTTAATTTTTAACATATTAAGTTAAAGGGAATAACATCTGTCATTTTAAAGGATATAAATTTATATCATTTTAGATCCTAACCGTTGATTTTCGTCCATCAACGGTTATAATTTATTGGATAAAAATTATTAATTAATTAATAATAAATTTAGCCCATTAAGTTTGACCCAATAAATTATAATCGTTGATGGATGAAAATAAACTGTTATGATCTAAAATAATATAAGCTTATATTCTTTAAAAAGATAGATATTTTTTTCTAAGTTAAATATTTAACTTTTACTTACACATTAAAAAACAATTTATTTTAAAAGATTTTTATTAAAAAAATTACTAAATCTTGTAGTTTTTAATGCAGAAACTTTTTGAAAGAAAAAGAAAATAACAAAATCACATGTGCTTTATGGCCCTGAACTTGGGGAACCATGTGAACAGTTCAAACTTGAAAAGCTAATCAAATGACGCGCTAATTCAGGTATCGAAGCCCGCGCTCGCGTTGAATCGTAGCGACTGCGACACTACAATATCATCCGTCCTTTCCTTGCGTAATTGCATTATGTCGCAAAATTTACGCTTTTGAACAATGCTATTAAAATCGGTTTAGTGATTGATCTTATTAAAGTAAGGGTCACTTATTCAATCAGTGAGCTACTGATTTAATCGTATGATCCGATAATTATATATAATTTTATAATTTATATTAAAAAATTATAAATATATATAAATATCTAAAAAAATGATAAAAGTTTCAAATATTTTAATATAAAAATAATAAATCTCGTATTATTATCCAATAAAGAATCAAACAAAAATATAATGATCGTGATACGAGATTTTAGGTTCGGAAAACGATAATTCTAACTATAAATCAAATCAACATTTTCTGTATAGTGCATAATTAA